TGCTTAAGGTCTGGGCTGACTTTACTCTCGAAATGTTTCTGTCAGGGTATCTAAGACCTGGCGAGGTTTCAAATGAGAACAAAAGAAATTGTTATCCTGTAAAATACAAGCCAAGTTAGTTGGGCTTTTAAAACTTTTTAAAATTCCTTTTAGTAATCTAAAACCATTTCTAGCCTACTTTCTCTTTCTAGACTGGTGCTTAGCGTACATTTGTAGTGTGAAGACTAATTCTTTTTCGTTCTTGAGTTAGGAGGTAACCCAGTGAGAGGTTTCTGGCGTCGTCATTCAGATCCTCAAGATCTCTATGAATTCAAGACACCTTATAAATGTACAGCTTTGATCTCGGACCTTGTTTGATTCGGCAGCCTGTTTGGCCCCTTACTACTGCTGTGAAACTATTAAGATGTGTAGAACTTAGCCTGTAGAAAGTAAGACAAAGAGTTTTTGTTAACTAGGTTGCATATTCTTTCTTGTAAAACCAGTGAAAGTTGAAGCAGGTCTGCCAACAATATAGTTTTGAACCGGCTGAATTGCCAACCTTTAAAATTAAAGTAAGAAATGCTTACTTTTTTCTCGTAGTTTCTGTGGGTTTTATTTTACACTAAATTAGATTGAAAATCCTGACACAGAAATTTAAACTGTTTTTATTTGTTGCAATGTTAATCTGAATGGTTTTAACCTGGAACGCTGATTTTCATTTTCTTCTACCATACTCCTATTTTCTTTCACAGGTGCATTGCAATTTTTAGGATTCCATATAAATGTTTCTTGTGTTGGCGCATGCTTAACTGTTAGACTGTATTTGTTCTAGTATTTTGAAATCGTCAGTCGTTTCAGTATTTTTGCTTTTCGCTTAGTGCTGCAATATTGCATTGCTCAGGGTGGTCAGCTTATTTGCAGACTGCTTTTTTTCTTTTGTTCACTCTGGTCCCAGTCTTCCAGTTTGTGGGAAAACTTAGTTCTCAGTTGTTTCATGTTCTAGTTTTTGTTGATTTAATACTATTAAAGACCTATATGTAGGAGGTCTCGCACTAATTTTGGCATTTCTAAATAGAAGGGGGAAAAATTATGATCTATTACAATGATTAACTTTTTAAGACTCAAAATTTAGATCTAACATCAGCCATTAGAAATAGCATATGAAGTTTGTTTGACTTAAAATAGAGATTTCCAGCTCTCCTGGAAGGGTGCCACAAGGCTGTGTGTAAAGCCTTACTTCAGCAAAGGTCAGTGCTCGTAGGGGAATCGGCCACGGCGGTCTTGTTGCAGAGCTGCAGGCCTTTCTGATGGATGACAGCTCTGGGCTTGCGTTATCTTTTGCTGCTACGGATTGTCATTAAAGAAAAGAAAACCAACAGCCTTGCAGGGGTAGGGGTGTGAAAAACCAGCAAGATGAGCAAAACTGGAGTTTTTGCTTTTGGCTTAGTGCTGCAATATTGTGGGGTTTTTTAATTAATTTTTAATTTAGTGGTGTTCGTTAGTGGTGTTTGAGGAAAGATGTATTTTCTGTATTCCTGCATGGAGCAGGACTTTTCACTCTGATTAAATACTGTTATCTATTTTTTATAGTGAGCGAAGAGGGCTGTGATAAAGCCTGTGTTTTATGATGGCGATAGTGAGATGCACAAGGCTTAGATCACTGACAGTGGATTTAATTATTTGTAATTAAAAGGGAATGAATGTTCAGTATTGCTGGCTAAAACGTGTTCTGTGTTATTAATCCTAAACAGTCTCTGAACTGAGGACTTAGTGTTTGCGTACGGACAGAACTGATTCACGGACGTTTGACACCACGTCTCAGATTCAATGACGTGAGGAGGGACGAAACGCAAGTGCATTTAGAAGAAACAACTCTTAACACACGGTAAGCCTGCTTGCATCCTCCTGTGCCATGTTTGGGTTTAAGAAGTGAGCTCTGTGCCCAGCTTCCCTGGGATAGATAAGCTCCTTTCTAGAAAAAGGCACCCTCAGAGTGCCTGTTACACCTACCATGGTTGGTATTTACAGAGGGAGTAGTTGGGGAAGTTACCCACGTGAAAACAGGAGTTTCCATTTCTCATGAGGAGCCTGAGACTCTATGTGGACGAAGCATTCCCACACCTGCTCCTGTCCTAGGGCAAGAGTTGGGTTTTATGGCCTTTTACGGGAAATGTGTCATCATCTCCTTCATTTTTTATGTGAAAGATTAGTGTAACTCACGCAAAACTCATGAAGCTGTGTTTGAAGAAATAAAACCCCAGACATACTCAATTCCCTGTCTGCTTTGGGAAGGTGAGGAGAGTATAGCAGTAGTCTTAAATTTCTGTAATGAATAGAACTAAAACTAAAAATACATCACATTTTCAAGAGTTGAAGCATATGAAAAATGCCAAGCATCATACACTGATGCTTCAGAATCCCTGTATACACTGCATTAAAGGTGAAATGCTTGGAATTGCAATGTAACCATGATGAATTGGGATCAATTGGCATTCACAATCAATATCCAGTACAAAATACAAAGAATGTGACGTAGTTGTGAAGTCTCAATATGTTGTGTACGGTTTAAAAGGCTCTACCACGCCATTGAACTCCATGGTAAATATTCCTGATTTCTTACTGATTGAGCTAAATTTACAGGTCATGATCCAAATTTAACTGGGCTTTTTTTTTTTTAAACTTAGATCTTTGGTCCTTGTACCTTTGTGTTTGCTAGCGTCTTTTATGACTAACAGAATCAGGTCGCTAGGCCTTCATAAATTTGTGTTTCTGTTCCTTTACACAAATGAGAACATCAAGACACAACTCAGCATGGGTATGTAGCCTTCATAGACCTCTGTCACTTTGATAAACTTACTGGGGAAAAAAAAAAAATCAGTCCTCACCTATTAATGTTGAAACTTAATTTTAGAGTTCAGTGTATTTTCTAAGCAAAAGATATCTACCTTAATAATTTGTCTTGCTGTTTTCAGAGACAGGCAGTTAATACCACTGACTTTCATCTCTTCCAAATCTTCTTTTCTTACATACTTTCCTTTCCTGTTAGCTTTTCTTCCTGATTTTTATTTTCTTGTTTAGTTCACTGAGGTTCCACGGATGTCTTTTGGAGTGAGGGAATCTAGATCAGTGAGGCAGGAAAGAGCATCTTCTTTCAAACACTGTGAGTTTAGGCCAGGGAACATTCAATGTTCATGCACTTTTATCTCCATAATCAACTCTTCAGGAAACAAGGTAACAGAAAAGGAGCTCATTTTCATCAGCCACTTAATTACAAAAGACTGTCCACAAATACATTGCAGTAGAAGTTTTTTTTCTTTTCCTGCGAGAGCCTAGAGTAGCTATTACCACATAGAGCTCAGTCATTCAATGATCTTGCTAGAAAATTTTCTTGTATGAATCCAAAAGATAATGAACACACACCATTAATGGATTGTGTAAAAGATAAAAGTCTGTATCCAGGAGGAGATAAGGGAATATTAATTTTTTAATTATTTGCAATTAATGCATTCTTTGTGACTTATGATTGCCTGGGGGCTTAAGGTGGTTGAAGGAAAAGGTGGTAATTCTTGTATAATTCTAAATAGCTGCCTGAGAAAGGTATTTATGTATCTCAAATTATACCTATGCATAACCTACTTGCATAAATTGCAACAGAAGTGTATAGAGATCAAGACATGCAACAGACCAGACATTTGTAAGTTATGTGAAATGTGTTGGAAGTCATAAGCCTAAGCAGAGTTAGGTGACAGCCCAAAAAGGAAAAAGAATTCTCTCGATTGTAGAAAGCTTCAACTCTGAAGACTACTGGTTAAAGGGTGGTTTGGGACCACGATGCATTACAGCGCTGCGCTACACTGCTAGTGAGTGTGTAGCTCTCCTCCTGAATCAAGTGAGCTGCAAGAATGTCACTTTGCTTGCGTAAATGCAACTCTACTCGTGACTTTTGCCACCGTCACCAGCCTCACACCCTTATGCACCTTAAGGCATGAGCCTAAAACACGCTGCTTTTTTGCTTGCTGTTCAGAAGTCTGCACAGAAAGAAGGCCATAGTGCTGACAGGGAGAAGTTACTGTGCAGAAAAGGGTAATCGCCCAATTATTGGTTAAAGAGTGGGGGGAAAAAAAACCCAACCTTGGCTTCATTTTGTGAGGAGCACGTTGTATTCTAGTTCTCCTAAGCTGACTTTGGATTTCACAACATCACAGGTACGTACCCAGCAGCAGGCTGGGACTACAAGGTACTTCTACCAGCACGCAAAACTCCTAGAGAATCTTAACATCCTAAAGGAAAAGCCCAACTGGGATCCCTGCCAGTTCGTTAATCATTCAGATTTGCCTGATCGGCGAGGCAGAGGTCAGAGCACACCGCGGTGTTTAAATGGTCTTTCTGTCCCCAGGTGCACAGTGCAGATGTGGCGCTGCCCCTAATTCAGGAAGGAGCTGGAGCTCGTGGAGCCCACCGCTACATCTTGCGGCGGACAAAGCACCTTCTCCAAAGATGCTGGATAAAAGGCGTATTTTGTTCCCTGGCCACGTGCCCGCCTCAGGCTGATGAAAACTTTGCTCTCTAGTAGAAGGATAAAGATTGCATTCCTTGTGCGCTAAGTATATACAATACAGAATGTATTTTCTAAAAACTGAATATAAAATAAATCTAGAACCAAAGGCATAGTTTGATGGACCAGGATAGAAATTTTGGATCTAAAACTAGCCAGATCTTACACTAATACAGGATTTTTTTCTCCGACTGTGAACACAAAGATGATACTGATTAATATCAGACTATTTGTAACACAGGAATCACTAAGAAATTACATATACTGGATTTATTGAACAATAACTCTACCCAATTTTGGAATTTCACAATACTTAATCAAATTATGCGGACTGCTAGCATGCATGCTAGTTCTAATTAAGTGACATTTTATAATTATTCACAGTAATAAAAAAGTAAACTGCAAACATTCAGACCATTAAGAAGCTGTATCTTCTTAACACAGCTGAACAGATAGCAGCTTCTCTAAATGAAACATCATACATTGAAAATGTTTTACTTTATTAACAATAAATTAATCTGTGGCATCACTGATCAAGAAAACACTAAAGCTATGGTGTACAGATTGTCAACACACTGATCAGAAAGGCAACATCATCACTACCTTCATAAAAACTGGGGAAATGCTACTGAACTTATATACATATATCATTTTCAACCATATGAACAGCACTGAGCAGAAGAAATGTACTTCTAAGTTTCCCCAATTTTCTGTTAAATAAAAGGCAATAATAAAAAGCATAGCGTCACAAGAACCTACTTAAAACTCTAAATACTGAGTCCTGACATAACACAGTGCTCAAAGGGGAATGTGCAAAAATAAGCGTCTGGATTTGCACTCCAATTCTTCATTGTGTAAAATTAAAAAAAAAACAAACAAACCCCAAACACACAAAACCACGACTGTTCCAGATTCTACTGTCAGGAAAAACAAAAGAAAAGCTGCTGGGAGAATCCACACTGACAAAGCTGTTCTTTCAGCCCGTGGCACTATTTGGAATATCTTGAGCATCTGCTAAATGTAGTTTTTGGCTGAAGCAAACCATTAAGGAATAACATTTGCACATATAGATAAGGTATGAACAAGACAGCAGTGTTCACGGAACAATGCTCAGTCCTGCGGCGGGTATGCACCAGTCCAGTTCTATTTAGTCCCATGCTAGTTCTCAACCAGCAGATTAATCTTCCTCACATTACATACCTCCAGAAGGAGCTGGTTGATCAAGGGGGATGGCAGATTATTTTTTTATCACTATCATGTGATATTATCATCACATTCCACTTGTGTTCTTTATGAGACCTAGCCTTAAACAGCTTTCCACAGACACACAGAATGTATATACCTGTGCAGTATGTGAAGTCCCAAACCAGAGTCCTCAATGCACACACAGTGTGTAACATCAGAACTAACCGGACTGCAGTATAAACCGAATGCAACGCTCCTCAACTCTGTTCTTAGCTTATCAAATGCATGATGTAAAAGATGAGCTAAGACATTCAGCTTTATCTTCTCCCAGGTGAGCTAAGAGCAGCCATTTGTTCAATTACCAAAGCTCTGCTGAACTATTTAACTCAACCATAGTCTGACCCAAGAAATAAAAAATTAGGTCAGTGCACTATTCACAGTAAAATCAGTGATAAACAGCTGCCTGTATTTCTAGAAAAAACTAAAAGGCAATAGGATTCACTTATCAATGGGACAGAACACGTCCGAGTACTACAGAAGGAATACTGCTGTGTATGTTTGTTCCAGAATGTCTCTGCAAGACTCACGCAGAAAGACCCTGCTTCTGCTGGGCTTTGCCTCCCACTGTCAACACACTGTCTGAAGTGGTCCGCGCGAGCTAAATACAGCGCCCTACGACAAAACAGCCTGTAATTAAAAGTGTTAAGATCCAGTCATTTAGGTACTGGGAGAACCTAAAATCCATGCTGTATTACAGTACTAATTTCAAAGAAAGGACGTTATTGAAGCGATTTGACCCCTGTAAAGACAGCAGTTACTGGGGAAATACACTGTAATTTGACTACAGTTAACAATAATTATAATGCAAAATAGACATTTAAGGAAAAGGATACATAGATGAATTCAGTTCTTCTAGCTGCAATATCAATGTAGACAGTATCAGAAATGACATTTCAGTTAGTCAAATAAATGCAACAGTTATGATGAAATAAATACATTAAAACAATGAAGGGAATCACTAATAGTTTGGGCTGAAATGTATGATTTTCATTATAAAAAGCAAAGCTAACCTGTACTGAATTCTACACCAACAGAGCTAAGTCCCAAGTTAAGTTTAAATCTGCCCATCTCAGGGAATTTAAAGAAATTTTAACAGTTTTGGGTTTTATGGCAATACACTAGAGAAAGGAGAAAATGAAAGTATAGAATATACAGATCTAAATTCTTTGTTATGTGTGGTCTTCCCCAGATGTAGGCGGACGGACCACAGGGAAAACGGTTGTAGTTCCCTGGTACACTGGCTGTCTCTAAACAGGCCTCCACCCTCAGGCAGTTTACAGCTAGGCTGCTCCACTCACCAAAACAAGCAGGAGCCTCCAAAAAAAGAAACCAAGGTACTGTGTCTTCTCAAAACCAAGAGGAGGGCAGGGCTTCTGTCTTGATTCATTACAGAACTATGTTCTCAACCGTAAATCCCTGCCCACCCACTAGTGGCGTTTTCCTGAGCCGAGTGCTGTGGGCAAAGATCCACTTCTTCTGCCTTCCCCGTACTTACATCTGACAGCAGCCTATCCAGGTTGGAGTCACTGGCTAGTTTCCTTTTATCTTCAGGGAGTTCTTCCAGCTCCCCATACAGCTCCAGATTGAGGCGAGCAAGTTTCTCCTGCATACTCCGCACATGCTCCATCTGCTCTATGGAACATTCATTTCCTAAAAAGACGAGCAACAGCCTTAGAGAAAGAAACCTGAGAGACTAAATGAAGGTGCAAAGATGCAGCTTTTCACATCAGAGAAGAGGAATTTAAACATCAAATTTACAAATTAATTTGCTTTCTCAGTGACTTCTGTTTCACTACTGAAGTTTCTGTCACCCTGTCCGGTGTTATGTGGTGCTGAACTTACGGTAACTATCAAGTGTAATAACTGGTTTTTAGAATATATGGGGTTTTTTTCTATATTCCTGAATTTCTCTCCTGATTTAGGAGGGGCCTGGTTTTTTAACTTTAAATATGATCACAATAAACCTTCTTTCTAATTTTGATTAACGTTGGGGGTTTCTTTCTTGTAGCTGATGCTTTGTATGATACGGACTTTTCAGGTTCTCTTGTAAAGTCAGTGTGGAATTAACATGACATGCTGACCTAACACTAAACTTGCAAAAGCACATAGGCATCTTTCTACTCAGTACAGAGAGAAAAAAGGAAGCAGAAGAGTGTCACAGTTTTTCTGAAACCTCCATCAACTGTGAAGTAGTAAGAACAGTAAGATGCTAAGACAGAAGAGTAAGCTTGCCTAAAATAATGCAGCTTGCATTGGATTCTATAAAAGTTGTTACCAATAGTCTAAAGTCTTAATATGCAGCAAAATCGGGTGCTAAATACAGTCACTTCTTATTATTCCTATACTATTATAAATAAGTGGCTTTAAACTTAGTATCTTAAACCCATAAGCCAAGGTACTGCCTTTGGTAAGCCATGCTGGAAGGAACAATCAAATAGCCTTTGAATAATCTCACACCAAAGACAAGCTTACAAAAGGACTATAATTTAAAAATGCAGTAAAATCTATTAATTGTGTTCATTTCATATGGCAAAGTCCGATATCACAAACTGGCAGTCTCTCCATACAGCACACTTGCTTGCAAATGTTACCATTGTATAGCTATAAAAACAACTATTGTATACAGACAACTCATGCACTTACCAAACGCTTGAAGTTTGCCAGAGTGGAAGTCATTCAGGAGACTCAGAAGTCCCCTTTCCATTTCCTGGACATCTGATACATCTGTGAGAAAAGAATGCTGGATTGGTGCTGCCTGTGCCCCTTTTGCTTCACCTCCTGGAGGTTTGGCTTTCTCTTTTATTACGCTGAAAAAAATAAACAAACAAAATAAAAAGATTACTTCCTGCTTTCACTTTCACCAAGAATCTGAAATGTAAGATAACTGTACATCTGGGCTTTGACAATGAAATGGAAAAAATATGTAATACATATTTCAATCACTCCTTTTAAGTTAGAAAAATGGATCACCAGTTTGTCTTAAGAATAAAGAACATCACCACTATCTTGACAGTTTGATACTGCAAAATGAAGGATTCCAACAGTCTGCTTTCCTACTAACAGTGGGAAATATCAATGGAGCACATGTATGTAATGGCCATCTTAATAATCTAAAGAGGATCATTACCCAACAATGACACATGGAGCGTTATCTACATTAAATCACCCAAAAAGCATCTCCAAACTCTCTTTAAGCCAGAGAGAAAACCTGTGGTCACAAACACCTATAGACTACAACCAGTGTGGAAAACAACGCGTTATAACCTATACAAGAAGGTGACCTTACCTCCAAATAAATTTTCCTAGAGCTCCTTCTTCCCACCTTCAAATAACATACCCATTTTGTAAAACGCCAGCAAATGCAATCTCCCAGTACTCTAACACGTACCAAATGGAACCAGTCCATGCCCAAACAAATGTTAAACATGCTAAAAATTCTCCACAGCCCCCTCGGCAACAAAACCATCGAAATTCCTGGATCTGGTATGTTTTTCTCTAGACATAAAATTTATTCAGAGCACCACGTGCCCATAGAAACTACATGGATGAAAATGAATAACCATTATAAATCCAAATGAACATGCAATTGGTATGGAAGGCAAACACACAATTACCAGTGAGTCTGGTGAGTCTGTTCAGAACTCGATTCAGTAAAAAATTTTGAGCCCAAAAATTAAACTTTAGAATACTATGGGATATTAATACTATGGGACAGGCTTAATAAAGAGGCTTTATTTAATTAGTGAAGATAATAGGGTTTACAGCATAGTAAGCCCCACCCTTCCCTTGAATACTCCCATGCTCTGCAAGTCATAAATTCTCTTTTTCCTATGGGAAATAATAATTCTTTTTCCAGCCTAACAGCTTCTGCAGTCTATAAACCTTGTATAGACTACATAGTCTATATGCTGGAACAACTTAATGGTCCAACAATTATCATATCTGGCTCAACTCAGGGCAACCAGTCTTAATTTAGGTTTAACTTTGGCTATTTCTGCTTCAATTTCAGACTTTAAGAAAGGTTTGTATGCCAGACAGGTCATCGATTTTTTCCACCTGTATCTGAAGTTTAAGACAATATATTACCACTCCTGGAAAAGTTATTTCATTAGATTCTTGCAGAGGAAGTAAAAATGAATTAAATGCTCCTACTCCACTACTGTAACAGCAGTTCATCCTCACATTGTTATGTCAATTACCACTCCTGCTGGGAAAGTTTGAGAAATTGTCTGTGTTAGCACTGCTCAGTAAGCCTGACTTAACATTTGAGCAAGAATCTCCTTTTCCATAACTTAAAGCAAAAAGGACATTTTCTTCCCTAGCTGATATTGTGGACTACAAGAAATGAATTTCTAGTACATTCCAGAACAGCGTTGAGACTTCAGTAAACTGTACAGTCAGCTGCAGAAACCACCAATTTATACCACATTAGTATTTATTAGTATTTCCCTCAAAACATTAACATATTTCCCCTGAAAAATAATGTATAGACTTTACATTGCAGAAACTCATTATTCATCTGTGCTATCTGTGCTAATTATGACAGTTCAGTGTTTAATCTTCAGCTAACACACACAGGTCAATAAAGTCGGCTGCCTCTCTCTAGCTAACATTTCACTTTAAAATCCCTCTTCTCTCATTTATCTACCTTAACTGCCACAGCCAAGAAATATAGATGCTAACATGCAGGAAAATTAACATTCTCAAACTGAAATAGATGTATCATCAAAAACACACAAACTATTCCAAAATGGTACTTTCTGAAGAGCTAGATGCCTGCCTCTGCACTTGAATATGGCCTGGGAGCTATCGCTGCCCACACTGACAGGTCCCCAAACAAAAACCACCCGGAAATTCCAGTTCTAGCTCATCCTGTTCAATTTACGTCCTTCATTTCCTGCCCTACTTGATAGTTCCAACCTTGCAGTCACGTCGTATTTTATTTGTTCCTCACAGCTGTACATCTGGGGCTCTGTTATCTCCCATACGATGCCCACATTTGCCCTATTTGATCACCCAACTCTTGTCTTTCACCAGTCACATCAGGCTATCATCTGTTCAGCTAAATTGTTATCTGTACGAGTCTACAACGTGGTGTAACATTTTATAAAGCTTACAAGAAGAGTACCAAGCACCTTCCTTTTCTGTAAAATAACCATTAGGTTGCCTTAAAGGCAAACCGCTTTGCTAAAAAAGACAGGTCATCAAAAATTTTCACAAGTCTGAAGCTCTTCCTTTTCATGTTGTCCCAGCCAGTCTAAACACCCTTTAGACTCTCCAAGCATTGGCAGGTTTCTGGCTCTCGCTTCCACTGAGCTTGCAAGATGCTCCCAAACTTACCGTTTTAACTTTGGTTTTTGTACTGCAGGCTGCGGTGCAGGATTCGAAAAGGCTGTACTTTTACTGACTGGCACCGAGTTTTTCTTGGAGTTAGCAACCTGAGCAGGGTGACTGGTAGATGATTTGGGGCTCCTCCTCTTGATTTTCCTTTCTTCCATTTCTTCCAATTTACTGCATCTAGACTAATTTCTTGTCCTCCAAAGGGAAGAAATAAAAGAAACATCCATTAAAACTGGCATTTACAATAAAAGCAAGGGAAAAAACAGGTCACAGCGCATGGAAATATAGCTTTATAGTTTCTTCAAAGACAAGCAGTCGCTCATGTCTTCAAAGAAGAGAAGCCAGTTTTCAGGAGGAGCTACCCAGGCCGGCCCGATCAGCCACACAGGCCGGAATTAAAGCCTTCCGCATCAGCTTCAGCTGATGGACACCTCAAAATGATCTCAAGCTCCGCGTCCCATGGACGATCGCCAGAAACCACGACGACTATTCAAGCCCACGCCGATGACAATCCTGAGAAGCGATGGTGGCAGGAGGATGCCTTGCCAACCAGCCTCCCCTGAGGGGAGA